AACGCTGTGAGAGGCACTAGTTGACTAAGATGCAACCATTTTAACGTGGTTAAGATTGCGTGCCACATATGCGTCACAATGGCAGCAGAATTCCTATTCAGTGAACTGTAAAGTAAGAGGATAGTGCAAAAGCCAATTCCTTCACTTTATTCTGTCGGTTAACTGCACTTATCCTGTCCCATCTTGTTTCAAGTCATTCACTCACTATGTGTGTGTACCTAGGATGCAGCCACCTTGTCTCTAAAACAGAAAAAAAGGGGAGGCAACAGAAAACGAAAGGGAGACAGCAGTACATGTGACTTTTTTCTCAAATGAATCTTGCCGATAGGAAGGAGGAAGGAAAGAGGTGATAGAAAAAAAGAGAGCAAAGTTGGCGACCTGCATGCATCACAACGTGTTGATCTCTGATGGTAAGTAATTGGGCAGTCGGATACGTGGGTAGGAACATAATTTGTTCCCTCCCAGGAGATTAATCATAATCTTGGCTTATAAGAAGACAAGTATGGAAGTGAATTGTTATGTAAGTCCCAAAATGTGTATAAATGAAGGCAGTAAATTATATGGAGGGGAGAGGCGCTGTACTTCCACTCTCACCGGCAATGTGTCGCTTGCCCGGCTAATGGAACTTGTGGAAGGCAAGCAGATGCTCGTGCCTTCAATAGAAGTACAGAAAGTATTTCTTTTCAGAAAAGTGAGCAAAATGGCAAATGTCAATCAAGAAATTAGATCCTGCAAAATCTTTGGGCCCATCAGGTAGTCTCTCAACTCCGATGTACGCTAGTGAGTAGTGACTTCAATACCACTTCAGTTTAGTACAACTACAGCAAGGGCGTCCAGGAGAGGTGTACCGAAGCTTCTTTCTTTAACCCCTAATTCGGGACTCCTGGTTAAAAGAAGACATTGAATAATCAAAGCATTATAATGGCTACGCTGAACAGAGTCTGTCACCTCCTCGGCGATGGATGGAGTCTGTTTAGCCAGCTTATCACCTTAAACATTTATTTAAACAAGTAGATGCTGCAAGAGGCTAGAGGTACAGGCAGTCATTTTTTAATACCCCGTCGTGGGGGTTGGGGCTGGGAGATAGATAAGACCATTCCAATACGTAAATAATTTTAGATTTAATATGTATAAAAACATCCAAACTAGTTGATTAAAATTGTAGGACCATGGCGACAAGGACGACCATTTTGAGTTTGCTCGTCTTTACCTTTAGGCAAATTGGGACAGAAATAATGCCCTTTTTTGCTGCTTATGCTGAAATGGGAAAGCGACTTAAGAGCGTCTCATGGATGGTGAGTTGAAGGTTGAAGTTGGTGGTGTACACCACATCCCTTCTCTCGTTAATCTTTCAAGCTACTCCGCTTTCAGCTTGGCCACAAGGAATGAAAAAGAGTAGCCTGCTGAGTGATTGGCTGTGCGACCGACTGATCAAAATACGAAATTGTGATAAGAAGTGGATTGTGTAGGAGAACAAGCATGACATTAAATACTCCCCCAGCAATCCACTCATCACCACTATACCTCACAATCCTAAGGCATCCATCACTCCTCCCTTCAATAAAACACACGACAACTTTTTCACATTTCCAGTCATTTAATTGTAAGGGGAGAATATCTGCCTCCACCTGGGTGACTCCGCTCATTACTCTGTACATGTTAAGAACAAAAAAATCCCTTGCGTTGGGGTACAGCTAAAGTCAGTTAAATGGTGGTGGGACGGGCAAGAAGAGGGTGAGGGTGTGGTAAGGGATTATGCTGTCTCATTCTCACCCACTTTGATGGTAAAGAAGAGTAATATGACCCCACTTCCATTTCCCCACCATCAAGAGATAAAACATTTCATTATTGCCAGGACAGGAGGAGAAATGACAGTGTAGGGAAAAAGCGGAAGGTGGTGGACTGTATGAGGTTTGCTCCCATCAACACCCTCCACGTTACCCTGACAATAAAATGTATCTCCTGACTGGTCATGGTGGGAGACAGCCAGGCGAGGTTACCAGATGACTGACTGGCAAGGGCCAAGATAAAGGCCTTAGTCAGTAGCTTGGTAACCAACTGAATGACAGGACTAACGAGGCCGCACGATCTTCTTCAGGGACAATGGAGATTTATTCCAGTGACAGCTCCCTCTCTCTCACCTTCCAAAGAGTTAACTATTGTTAATCCGGTGAGACGGAGTGGGTGGGTGAGAGAGTGTTGTGAGGTTAGAAAGAGGGGTATGACATTGCTCGGGTGAACAACAAAGCGACAATCAGCACTAATTTTAGGCACATGCAATACAATCCGTGAGCCAAATTTGAACACATGAAAGCTTGACTATTGCAACCTACTCCCAAACAATGGTTGGGATTAAAGGTCAATCAAGTTTCTACCAGTTGTCCGTTTTGTCAACTTTTGTTTGGTAAATTCACTTCCTAACAGTGATTTAAGTAAGAGAGAAACAGGTAGTCGTTTGTTTCGTTGGACCTTCGCCATAGTATGCAGCTCTCAGTGGGGAGGTCACATGTCCGTTCGTCGGTGGTAAAAGTACTTCCAGCCTCGTGTTGTGCACTTGTCAAGGTCTGCCCATCCCTTCCAGTAGAAATAACAGGGCTGCCAATGCAGTTGGAGAAACTCACACTTACTCGCATTCATTTCCCCACAGTGACCGATTCCATGTGGAGATACACTGTAGTTGAGGGAAAAGGTCGTCAAAGATGGCTTCGATGTGTGAGAAGGGAGAACACCCATCAAGTCCGGCACCATACACGCCCATACACGAGTGCATATCCTTTCATTCGGAAGGTTTTTGGATTGACCACCCCTTCCGGCGAGGATACGGTAATCCGCTTGGCTAACAACTTGATTGACGGACATTGTCATCAAGGGTGACACGTGCCATCAAATATATGTCAGTTTTTTGAACAAGCTCATTTACACAACTTCCCTTTTGTGAAGTGGAAAGAAGGAAGGCGGACAAAAATGCGGTTTCAAAGTGCTCTAAACATTCGTAGCTTGTGTAGAGTAAATGGGGACATGCGAGGCATTGAAGTAAACAGAAGGCCACTGCAAGTAGCATTTGTGGTACTGGATGCTTGTCGGGTAGCCTCAACACCCTTTACAACAGTAGCGGTGAACAAAAGCTTGAAGCGTGGCAGCATCACCATCTATCCACTGAAAGAGTGATCAGTAGGTCCCTCTGACCACTGACTGTGTGCCATTGATATTGTTGACTGTTTATTCAGACCGACAGCATAGCAGTCACCTCTGTGTGTGGATACTTTGCTTGATTGTGGAGTGTCTACCTCGTCCTGAAGTCTGCGTCTGCAGAAGCAGTCTCAGTGTTAAGTAGGCTCACTCTAGAAACTATGGCAATAAGCGCAGTGAAACAGGCTGACCTATGACGGTTTGAATATCTAGGCAAATATCTAAGGTATTTACAACAGACAAATATCTACCTTGGCAACCACTTCACCTATCACTCTCCACAGCCATTTCCACATGAAGTCTTAAGTCTATAAGAGGAGGAATGGTTGACTGGTGGCTCTCTTTCATGCAGAATATATGCACCTATAACATTATTTACTGCCGAACACTTTTTTCTTCTGCACTAACACCACTCATCGAGTCACTGTTGTCTTGACCACTTTTCCACCACCACAACACGAGTCCAGGTTTGCACCACCCTGGATGTTGTGCCAACCCACAGACGATTTTTCGCACCAGGCACATTCCACTCCCCCTACCAAAGAGGAAAATAAGGCCATTTCTCCATAATCATGTCCATTTTTCACTTCTTCGTCATTTGATTGTAACTCTACCATTTATCACTTGAAATTTGAGAGAGCTGACTACTAGAGGCTGCTTTTGTTCGAGCAGTTGTGCAGACGCAAAATCAGCCTCCTCTGTATCCCTAGCCAAAGATGGAAGACCAGATGTAGAGTTAGATATCAAAGTATTTCCTTTGGACCAGTGTGTTGGGCATAGTCAAATCCTAGAACTTGAACTTCCCTACCAGCGGATCGAGGTACCTTAGCGAAAGTGGCAACACCCACCAATCTGGCGGAATAGAAGGGAAACAAATACCTACAAGTTCCAGTTTTCATGCACTGCATTTCTCCTGGAAGGTAACTACCAAAAGCAGTGGTTAAGAAGTCGTATCCCAGCCAACTACGCTCCTGCCACCAGAGTTTTATTCTCTCACACTTCCTTTCCTTTGCGTGGATTCTTGCGATTGCTTAATGTCAGAGGGCGGAAATGAGTACTTTGAATAGTGCCATCCAGCGAGGCGCATTCCCGAAGTTTCTGCGACTGTGGAATTGAGGGAAATTGGTTTACCTCGAGATAGAGACTGGGTTTAATAGTTTAATTTACATGACTATAATGTAAGTGTCGAGGTGAATAGACAAGTAGCATAGAAGGTGACAATAAGGGCCGATGAACTGACGCCCATCTATCCCCAGTCCACAGTTTGTTAATCTCCCAAAGTCGTTGACTCAGAGCCACACTGAGGCCTTCGCATGAAGAGATTGGATCAACTGACATCTTTGTTATGAAGACGTCAAGCATCCTTGCCTAGCTATCTGTAAATGGTCAGCGTCACCGTGGATGGAAGTTCTCGGAGGATAGGCCATGCTTTGCTTACAACAATGCGAATTGGAGCTGGCACCAAAAGTCGATGCACTCGTCGTGAACCCTCTCATCCCCATCGCCATCCACATTAGTCACCTCTTCCGGCTCCATTCCTAAACACTAATTCCCCTTAGGTACAAGGCTTCTTTAATCCGTCAGAGGATGGACTCGTCATCCAAGTTACCTTCAAGGAAGTCATTAGGCACACTCGTGTGGGAGCAGTTCTACCGGCACAGAGAAGGGATGCAAGAATGCATGCATGGGCGACATGGGGAATGATGCACACCGCCTGCTCGCATCCCATACTGCCGCACATATACCAAGCCAAAATCACTCAACGGAGAGTAGGGGAGAATAAGGGTCCGAAGCACATGTTGAAGACAAATGAAGACGGCTGTGAAGGTTATAACTATACTGTTCACTCCATCCCTTTGCTCTTTTCCCTATTCTGCTCCTCTTTCGCCTCCTCCTCCTCCTCCTCCTCCTCCTCCTCCTCCTCCTCCTCCTCCTCCTCCCCCTCCAGATCCAAGGACACCTTCTTTATCACAAAAATGGGCCATACTGTCTGCCTGCCACCCAGAACTGCGCACTCAAACAAACGCCCATGGTACCGTAATCATCATAGCATTACATAGATAGAAAGTGGTACTGTTACTAAAGACTTGGGAGTTAATTAACTGTCCTAATTATTTTGTTTTAATGCCTGGGATTACTCGACATCAAATCAAAGTTAAAATTTAAAAATAATGAGGATAGCAATCCACAACTTAGCAGGAAAAAAAATAACGGAAGCAATATATGAATTTGAGGAACTTGTTTAGTTTTACAATATTTTTTGATATTACTTAAAACAAATAAATTTTGGCGCCTGATTGTCCACCGGAATGAAGGTCGAGTATCACCTACGTTAACAGACAAATTATAAAATGTTTACTGAACCTACTATTTATCTCATTGTCAGCTGGATCCTGCTAAAGTTTGCAAATGAAAAGTACTTTTTGATCTCCGCGTTATAAGGGAATGTCTTGATAGTTGTGGAGTGAGTGATGGAGACTATGGAGCCCGTCTCCGGCGTCTCCACTTCATCCCGCACATTGTTATCAACGATCAGCGAACGACGACACGATGAGCTGTCCAAGTGACTGTAAAGCTACTCACTTCCCTAGTGGTGGCAATACACTGCGATGTTGATTGGAAACGTTCAATGAACGTTGGCCGGAAAGGAGTGACATCATATAGAGAGGAGGTTTTGAATGTGAGGCCTTGCCAAAGTTAATGTATTTACGAGAGCTCTTCTGTTGTGCTTCTCTAGAGCCCTCTTCCATAGTGCCCACCGTTATTCAGCCTATCAGAGCAGCTTCATCGGTCGCTAAGTCGCCGTGGTCTATAAGGCATGGAATAGAGTCCATGCCACTAAGACGCTGGCATTATCCAAACACAATGGAGCGTCTAAGTGGTTAACGCCACACAGACCATGCCTCATTTCACTCGTCAATCACTGATAAATACGAATTTTCGAGAATTTTTTTATTGTATAACTTCTTGAAAGTGGGTTAAAAAAGCTTGTTTGGTGCGTGGGTAGCGTCCCGAAGATCTTCTCAAGGCGAAAGAAGACATAATGGGCTTTTGGCATGGCCCAGAAGCCTGGCCGCTCTGTGAAGGTACCACGACCTAGCCTCTCGGTGGCCCTTTACCAAAACGGAATGCCAAACGACCAACGCATTACAATGCACAAGAGATAAGGAGGTATATTTACACGTCTTCAATCAAACAGGCCAATTGTTTATTTATCAAATCCCACTTTCTCCTTGCACGTCAGATTTGCTTTAAAAAAAGAGTAATAAACATTAACACATTAAAAGTGTGTATGTGTGTGTCAATGAGTAGTTGAAAGGTTAGTCAAATTTTGATTTATACTAGTGCCACGATTGTGTGGTGGGATGTGGCGGTCATGGCTGCGGCGCCCCGAAAAACTGTTTTTGTTTTGATTTTCCAGCGATTCCCTACTTTAGGGTTAACTCCCGAAGATACTAGAAGGAACTGAGCTAAGTAGCACTAATAATGTAAGGGTCAATTAACTAGCCATAACTGCACTGGGCCGGGAGCATCCATGCCCTGGCAACCTCCATTAATTATCCGGCCGTCATGTACCCCTCGCTTATTAACCCTTCGGCAAATAAAGACGTCCGCGTTGACACCTTCCCTCCGATTGACCAGGTCGGCAATTAGGCAGAATCCGGGCCCACGTGCACGAAGCTCATTTAATAGAATTCGGCGACACACCATTCAGTTTATGATCGTTCTTTGATTTGAAAAAATTACTACTTTTTAGTTCACAAATTGGTCATCTTGGTAGCGCAAGTGTTCGTTTGCAGTAAAACAAAAACAAGTTACAGTAGACGCTCATCCTTTGCGCCGCTAATAGCGGTTATTTAGAGGACCGCCACATCAACTCAACTCCATTTTTAATCCGTAAGCGATAGCAAAAGCATTTAAGCCTGGAGGCGGAGCAGCTATGCCTAAAATTTTTTAAAATCAACTCTATACCCCCTTCGCCCTGCTTCATACGATTAAATTGCAGCATATATTAAGTGTAAATTTTACACCGCAAAATAAGCTCATTGCTAGCTCCCTTGACGAATTCCCAGTATCAGATTAACCCGAAATTCTAATATTGGCTCTACCTGTATGGGGTTTCTGTACGGGCATGCTCTTAACCGAGATTCAGATTTTATTATTCTATTATTCTAATTTGGTTTTGTTGGGCAAGACGGTGATTTGAGACAGTTATAAGGGCCACATTGTCTAGAGTTCCTCCAGAACAAATTTCGCCCATCAATTGTTCCATAAGTTCGACAATCAATGGGACACGGTGGCCAAGACGTAGAAGCAAATTTCCACTACAATGAAAAGTTGAAATGGCTGAACGACTTTTCGTTCATAGTTGACTTGTTGGGCTTAAGTTGTCGAGTTTACTTCTTTTGTTTGTAGTTGAGGTGAGTGGTTTTACAGTAATGCAGATAATCAATTAAGTGTTTTAATTTCTTAATACCATTTTTAAATTCTACGTTTAACGTGTACATTTAACAATGCGAATCAAAGATGGTGCAAGCTATTTGTATTTAAGAGTATTTTCCGAAATTTAGAATTTACTATACAATTTTGAGAAGAAAACAATGCAAAGTGGTTGGGATTATTGTGGGATAAATAGCACAAGAATGTTTAGAGAAACTTCTTGTATTGCCATCTTTTCAAAGCCGTATCCAGGCTATAGCGTAGTTTATGCGCATGCGCTAATAATTTCCCTACGTGACCTTCTAATATGACTGCAAGTTATTGTTTGAATAAATAGTATTAACTAATGGACTTTCTGAAGTGTCCAAGAGAACCTTTGGAAATGACTAGACATTAATGTCCCAATCGTTTTAAAATAAGGTATTCTACAAATCTTGAAGGTGATTCTGCTTTGCGACTTTCCCGCCTTTGATTCCCAAACAGAACCTCACTAAATTCATGCAAAATTGAATGATAAGTTTTTAGCATTATTGAAAAAGTTTAAGACAAATTAAGTAATTAGTAGGTAGATTTGAGGATAGGGAACAAGAAAGACTATCAATCAAGCAGATGAGACTGTTTAAATCCACGCATGAGATGTTTATGAGAAATTGGGGTATTATTTGGCTGAATGAATGGCTAACTTATCGGGTGTTATCGAATTCCTTTCAGGCTGGAGGCAGGTCACTTGAGTTTAATGTTTTGCAAAACTGATTGCTCGAAAACAGAGGGAGATCAGACGTCTTGTCCACTGTAATCAAGGTTGACAAGTGAATCGGATGCAACAAACACCGTTACCCACAAATTATGCAGTCTTCAGTAATAAAATTGGCCCTTTTTGTCTCATGTATAGCATTTTTTGACACAATGTTTGTTTGTTATTCGCATGTAATAAATGGTTAAACCGAATTGTGGCTTAGAGTGGTTGATTGAGCTTGAAGAAATACGGTTACAAATTGTAGATTATGTTTGCAAGTCGCCTCCACCAAACTAATTAATGGGTGAAGACTTCATGGTGGACGCCTTCATCGAGTAGATGCGGGTGAGTCTACAAAACGGTGCCGTGCAGGCACGGACCTAGTTGCTGACTTGTGGATACTGCCGGGCGCTGAAGCCGAGACTGCGTCTGGGCCAGGGTCACTCGGTTGGCTTGGTCAAGTGTGCCCATAGTAGTGGATTGACCTTGGATTTAGGGTGACTGTTTTTGTCCTGAAAGTGTATCTTCACGTAGTCTCAGCGAAACGGGAGTGAGTAAGGCCACGATTACTGGAATGATTTGGGAATGTCTGTTACAATAAAAAGTTTCATAAAATCAAACGTGGACTTTTTTGAGATAGAGTGTTCTGAGTTCAGAAAAAATCATGCTTTCGTTTCCCGAGTAGCATAACATCAATTAAAACACCTTTTTAAGCGTCGTAACAGTTGATTTTGCTCGAGGCCATGATAGTAAACTTGGTAATTACGCAACTCATCGCGACTTCAATTCACAGAGGATGCTATTGAAAGTGTTTTGCGTGTATTATGATTCTTATCCGAAATATTTTATCGCAAAACACGTTTCAAAAGAGCGTCTTATAAGTCGTGTTATCTGGGACAGCAAATTTAAGGTGATAATGGTGAATAAGTACTTTTTAAAAGCCTAGTTTATTTGCAATAAATGGAGGGCGATTAGAGAAGCGCGAGCCACCAATGGGAAGATTTTAGTTGATAGTCTGCTGAGTTCGTAACAGCATCGGCTAATATATGACGCCTCACCAAATATAGGCCGTGTGAGCGTCTGTTTATAGTCTGTACAAATTTGAATACTTTGATATTTGGTGCACTGATAAGGTGAAATTTATGATTACTGCATCATAGGAATGCATACTACTCAGGGAATAGGATTGTTTTATAGGGGAAACCAAAACTTTCCAGACGATTTAGAGGCAAATGCGTGCAATTTTTTAAGACTTACCGAGTAATCCTAAGAATTATCTGCAGGTGTGTAGGAAAATCCCCCTCCTCTTCCCAATTAACTAAGGGTAGTCACTTAGTTGGAAGGAAGTAATCTAGCTGGCCCTACGAGAGAGTACAAGAGCTTATACCTCGAAAATGACCCGCCAATACTGCGATTTAGGATGGGATGGAAATTGGATTTGGCCCCATCCTCATCCACGCTATTACCGTATTTTAGGACTCAGTATTAGAAAGTTACTTATGAAATGGAAGAGAAGATAGGGAGACATAAATGAAATGATAGAAACGGTAATGGGGCCGTTTATAGTTCTTGTCATATTTTGAACACTGACCTTGAAGTCGCTGAAAATCCTCCCCTCCCCCGACATCGACCCTCATTGAACTCAAAAATAGACGTGATTTGAAAGCGATTTGTCTGGCAAATTTTTGAGAAAAAGAACAGCTTAAGACCGGAATGCATTTGTCAGCAAAATGCATTTCATTTACCGATAGGTTTTCAATTGGGAGAATTTGTCTAAAAGCAAAAGTTAATTAATGTTATGCATTCCATACTTCCTACCACTTCTTTAAGTAGAAACTTGTAGACTTACCTAGATGTAGGTGTCCCTTGGAATCTAGGTAGAACATTTCATTTTCATTACAAGGGACACAGAATATTAAGCCTATTCCACACCTCTTTCTTTCGTGTTCAGCCTAACTTATTCAATAAAGACGGGAAGTCAGAGGGTACATTTGTCATAAACTTGTCGAAAGTCTTAGACACTGGAAGCATAAGGGAAAGAAAGCAATGCTTAATTACGAATTGCGTCCTACAACAGTGAAATAAATATCATTTTGCTACCAAACACATGTATTTATACAACCTGCAGACTCTATATAGCTGGAAATATGTTCTACGTAAGCTACCAGTAGATTAAATTAGGTGTGATACTTTGCAGTTTTTTAAACGGATAAAATACATTTCAAGTTGAATTAAGCACGAAAACAGAAGTTTGTATGCATAAGTGTCCGAATTCAAACCTGACTGAATCAATGCTAGGTTGTTCTGACATAAGTCTTTGCAGCATATTAAAAAATTCGCAAGGCTGATTTTATATCTGCAGTATTTTTTAAGCCAAATTCAGTAAAAGCTGGCTTAATTATTATTAGTGTTATACAAATGCAAAATTCTATTAAAATTTTTTCGCTCAATTCTACTCAGGATAATAAAGTACGACTTGGGCCCAGCCCACCCGAGGAAGGTACAATGGCGAAGTACCTAAGCGGCCCGTTACCAAAAACGAGAGTTAAACAAACGATCAGAGGATTACACAATCTCTCGCCTTTTTTAAGCGCCATTATCAGCGATCACCCTTGGTCAACCTCCCGTGTAAGCCATCACAACGCGATCGGGGCAGCAGGACGAAATTCACAAACAATCACTCCAATTCATCGAATTCTAGTACAACTGAGAAGATACCTGACCACTACGTCACCATCCCCTCTTACCAATCATACTGGATCTGGGATTTCGCCCTGTATGGCAACTGTATTGGCAGAGGGGGGTTGTGGTGGCACTAACGCATGTCCATAGCTAGTTGTAGGGACACTGGCTCAACAGCAGCTTCATGCAGCAAAGGACGAAGTTTAGCATAGTTCCATGCCCTTGGAACTTCACCTGTATTCTTCCTTGCCACTTTTATCTCACTTCAGTGCTACCCAGATATATCCATCTGGTTTTAATCCAGTTAGCAAGGAAGTGGGGGAGGTATCGCAAGTTGACATGGTTGATAACTTTATGCAGGAACTGTAGACAGCTCCGTATCGAACTTTCCCACTTGGTTTACAACTATGGCTATTGTTAATGGCATTCCTACTGACTACGGGAATGGGTTAGCTGCCAAAGGTAGACGTCATTTTCAGCCCTTCTGTTACGGGTTGCTACAGATTCGCCCATCCACAGCATATGAACTTCTTCCGCCCTTCTAGAGTTCATCACCCAGCAGTAGAAATTAAGGAGGTTGTTAAGATAGGATTCGCTATCTGCTGCCACCAATGCAGTGCTTCGAGACTTCCCCTGAAAGCGAAAAGAGAAACAACACTCCGGTAGACTACGTATTGTCGACCTACAGCGAAGCATGGGGCTACTAGCATGGTTCAGGGGTCAGCCCACCCAGTGTAGGTACAATGAAGGAGGGCCTAAGTGGCTCCTTTGCCAAAACTGAGAGCTAAACAAATAACCAACGCCTTATAATGGTACTCTTTATAATCTATTTTGAATTTCTTCACAATTAAATAACATTTGGGCGCCAGAATAACCTAAATTCAAAGAGTAATATTTTGAAGCCCGAACTAATGAATTAACTGACACAATACCTCATTTACCACCGTAAAAGTTATCAAATTAGTTCATAAAACCTAAAGATTGTCTTTTCAAGTAAAGTATCCTATGTCTTGTCAATCTTGGAGAAGTAGAAAACTTGGCGATCCACTTAATTTTCTATTAATTAAAATTTGCATAACAAAGTTAGGCATCAGGGATTTAAAGTGGATCAGTCCGGACAGAAAATTTTAACCGATCAACTACGTGGATACCCTTTTTCTTTGATTAGCCAAAAGCTCACAGCGAAACTAGTGCAAATTTCATAGTCACTGATCAGGCTTATTCATTCACAGGGTACTGTGATGCCATTTTGTGGCATCAGGCATCTTCTCAACTTCCACATGACCGATTTTAACTTGTCAAATGTGATAAAAATCCTTGCCTAAATTGCTAAATCAAAATCTGTATGAAGCAGAAAGGCGATACACCCACATCGGCATATCAGCACTAGAGGATAACCATTCTAGAAATAGGATTAAATGTAGTTAGCATATCCTACCAAAACTTGTTTGTTAATTTATTTCACATCTACACATAAAAGACGAAAAAAAATAATCAGAAATACCATCAATAGAACGTACGAAAATGGCTACCATCACCGTGACTTTGAACAAGGGAGTAAGATCCACTACGGTTGCCAAAAGTTGATGGAGGACAGTAAATGATAGCCTTCAAACATCCGGGGATCTTTCAAATGCATCACTACAAAGCAAACCAACTTGAAGAGGCTCGAGCAAAGACCTGCTCCCTATGCAATAAACTTAGAACCTGTTGAAAGAAAAGAAAGCGACTGTCGCACTTATTTAAGGTTTTTAATAATTTGAATAAGACCGAAGAAACCATTAATAATGTAGAAAATTGGTTCTTAAATTCATTACTGTTACGATAAAATTTATTCAAAATCCACTTGCCAACGATGCTCGATGGATTTGCAGTATACTTTTAACTAGCGGGCTGCAATTTGAGTTGAAGTGAGGCACAATTAGCTTCACTTCCACAGATGGACCGGTGAGCACGAAAACACGATTTTTATTTACCCCAAGGCAAACAGATGGGATGGGAGTAGATTCGTGAAAACATAGTTAGTAAATCAACTACAACCGTAATTTAAAGGTGTTTTAGATAGTGAAATCCGAATACATCTCACGCGGATTCGACAGGTCACTAGACGCAAATAAGGCAGAGGCCAGTCAGGAGATTTTTTTTATGCCCTTAGTTCTCGAGACGATCTTGTAGAGCGCGTTCCCTGGAGGAACAGCAGAGGCATGTCGACCGCCATAACTCAGTTGTCGTATTTTTCTCTCCTAAGCTATTTTTGCATGTGGCACCTCGAGACTTCCCTGAAGACGAAACAAGTTGCAATACTCGGCTTTAATATGCATTGTTGACGTAGAGAAGGGATTGGGGCTACTGGCACGGTCCCCAAGCCAGGCCACCCGGTGGAGGTACAATGGTGGAGCCCCTAAGTGGCCCCGCCACCAAGAACAAGAATTGAAGTTAGACAACGGACAACCCACGTCTAAGTTATCTCTTTAAACCAGACTAATCTACTTGCAACATGATCCGCTACAATCAGCTATTACACATTGATTAGGAGTACACTGTCACACATATGTGACAGGATGACAGTTAACCATTAAAATACAATTGAAGGTATATGCCAGACCAGTATAAAATCACCTATCCAGTGCACTCCAAGGGTAAATAAATAGGTCTATTGGAATGGCAAAAACGGTTGTCACTGCCATCAAATTGGTTGACTGGCCTTATGATTATTTAACCAAATTCAGCCTCAACGACCCAAGCAAGGAATAGTGAAGTTTTTTTGCAAACTACGATTAGAGCTAAAGTGTTGGAGCATTGATAAAAATTTTACGCTTCCGTTATAATATATTTAAAATTAAAAAACATAATATTTAGCTGTCGCTAGTCGGAATCACCAAATAAGATGGTACGAAAAAACTTTATTCCCAGATAAATTCCTATCTTCGCTATTCTCACACAAATTGTACACCAAACCGGAAGCTTGTTTAGGTAATTTTCTCAAAAGATTTTGATTTTAAGGACTTAAAATGTTCACCAAGGGATCCTTATGCAAGGTGATGATCATCCACTTCAAGGGCCCGCAAATCCTTCCGTCAAGAAACCTTCTTAAAACTTCCTTCCAAATGGAACAAAAGCCCCGCCTTCCAAACCAACGCAGCAGGTTTTTGAAACAAATAATGCCTAAAAATCTTCAAAGGAGGTTAGGAAAGTTAGTAATTCGGGTATGGATGACCACAGACCACGACTGAGGAGGACACGATTTCAATACGTTAGTTGTTTAACCCTCAGCTTCGATAATGGGCCACTTAGTGGGCCCCACCATTGCACCTCCGCCGGGCGACCTGGCCCCCGGGTCGTGCCAGTAACCCCCAGGCTCTACTGCGTATCAAAAATGCATATTCTGTCCAAGTGTTGCATCTTCTTTCACCTTCAGGGAAGTCTCGGGGCGCTAGGGTGACGCCCCCTTCGTCTAGTCAGAAGAAGTGAAAATTGTAACGTAACACATAGAAAACTTTCAATGACGCAGCGTTGGCAGCAATCTCAAAAGGCATATTTTCCCTATTCTTCGGAATGAGTCCTTAATCTGCAAGATAATCGTCCAATGCGAAAATTTCCACTCTTCACCCTCCTGTCACTGGTGAACGGAGTTTTGCTATGTCGAATCAGCCGAGGAAAACGGGTAACATACAAAATTTTGTCTCCAAACATTCGAGACAACTAAACAAACTAACTTTTGAGAAAATAAACCGAAACTTGCTCCTAGCTGATCAGTACGATAGAATTAGGAGGAAAATGCTTGGGACTCAGGGAGCTATAGGCACGGCCTAGAGGCCAGGCCGCTCGGCGAAGATAGGATAGCGGAGACCCCTGCGTGGTCCGCTACTAAAACCAAATTAAAATAAGGTGCTATAGCAATATCACATAGAAAATGGGTGAGGAGACGCACAAAATCCTTTCCCGTCATATTTTTTAAAATGAGGCTTTAATCGGAATGATAATTTGCACCACAGATTTCGGAGTGTTGACGATGCCTCATACACAATCCCGCCATGCTACAGGAAATTCTGGTACGTCAAAATATTTCAGAGATGGCAATGTGTTACTATGACAGTTCGTTTACCTCTTAACTTTGGCTTAGTGAGGCTTAAGGCTCCATTTTTCACATTCACCGGGCGACATGGTCGCCGAGACATGGTAGTAGCGCCTCCAGTCCCATATATTTCACCTTCAGGAATAACTTGGGGCACTACATTCGTAGCAGGGGAAATCAAGCGCTATCCCAAAAGGACAAATACCCTGATTTCCGTCACTGGAAGAAGATGGGCATATTTTGTGGAAGGGGGAAATCTGTGACAACTCCTAACAGAAGGGTTGAAAATGAGGTTTTCCATGGGAATGATGTCAACAGTTGAAGCGCCACTAGACACCTAGAACAGTCCGTTACGGAGTTGTCTACATTACATGTCTGAAGATGTCAATCAAGTGATCACTCGATACCTCCTTCAATTCTCTAGGAGCTGAATGGGACCCTGAAAACCGAGTGACAAGGAAGAATAGACACAAAACCCTACCCCCGCAGAATCATGTTATAATCCGCCATTTGTTATACACACTTTTAGGCTAGCGTTTCTATGCCTAACGATGGACACAGGAAATGGCCCATACATTCCTTCGTCCCTCACCAAAATACAGTTCGTGTTTAACAGAACCAAAACTCCAGATCGGACAGAATTTCCAAGAGGGATCAGTGATGTTGCAGGCAAGTATCCTCTCAGTTGCATGGAACTTCGATGACTGGTGTGGATGACTGATGGATGTTTTTCTTACAGCGCCGAATACTTTGTGATAGACGACACGGGAGGCTAAGCAAGGGGAGTGCCAGAGACCACGCTCCAATGGGAAGAGGGAATATGCAATACTTTGGTTTCAAGAGCACTTAAGGCTCCACTTCGAGAAGTCGCAAGTAGACTGAACTGCCTCTAGCCAGAGTCGGCCCTCGAGTAGACAATGAAACACCTCAAGATTCCAACGCTAATGACACTGTAAAGAATACGTTGAAGAAAGCCCAAAAGAGACCACATTTTTGCACTTTCCAAAGGAAGAACAAGTTCAGTAGGTGGCTACAAACAACCGTTAAGGATACCAACTTGAATTTACCATGATGCAACCCGATCCATTGAAACAAGAACCACTCCAATTGAAATAAAATAACAGACTTAGTACACTTAATATTTTCATATCTTCAACGGCAGTTATTTATGCTAGAAATTCAGATTGAAAAATACAGACGGCTCCATTAAAAATGTACAGTCTTTGATGAAAAAGAAGGAACACAGTGAAGTTTTGTGCTGAAGAAGTGGATGCAGCGCGAAGGAATACACACTACCTGAGCAGAATATGTACTGTTAACTTACAGAAGAGCTGTTGGGACTACAAGTATGCCCCGGGGGCCAGGCCGCCCAGTGAAGGATCAACGGGGATGCCCTTGAGGGACCGAATACCAAGACCGAGGGCGCTGTCTTTTTCCGTTTTCAGGGAAGTCTTGGGGCGTTTCATAAAAACCACTTCCTCAGATATTTTACTAAAAAAATAATTTTCGAAGGGTGGTCCTAACACGCAGGAAGTAATCGCATTGAAATTAAAAAACCACCTCGGCATAGAAATCGGGCAATAGAAGAACCCAATCATGCCGAGCTGCCGATGCTTTATCTTTTCGACTGTAAAAGATTTGTCCGCAAATTTGGAGAGAGTAAATTTTGGTGCTTAAAGTGTAACAAGCTTGAAAAGTCCATTTCACCAATTATCCCATAAATGTCATGGCGAATGCGATATTTAGTGTGGAAAATCCGGTTCAAATTTTTATTTTACAGGTCAAAAGTTTACGAATTGGACTTTCTAACAGAGTGGTTAGCCAGCCAGCCCCTTTGAAGATGTCAAATTAACCTCATCATCCCTACAAACCACGAACAGCAAAAAACAGGATCACTGTTTAAGTGAAAATGGAAGACTGCCTTTTCTGCCAAGTGAAAATAAAAGCACATTTGCATATGTGAAAAAGCCTAAAAAACCATCAAGGATGCACAAACATTTTTACCCGCGCCGAATCCCCCTTTGTAAATTTGTGCCGAGAAAAAACCGTGCAAGTTAATGCTCAATTACTGTCCACGTGCAAATTTCGAAGACAAAGAAGATCCAAAAAGAGTCAATGAGGCGGTGTCGAATGGGTGACACTGTAGGAAGCCAGATCAAAGTAGACGGGGCAGTGGTTGCTGGGTCGTCCACATCCGTCAGAGAAGTCGGGGAGGGGAATGAGAGGGTGGCGGGATGGGATCACTACAGCGCTGACGCCCGTAAATTTCAATCCCCCCGAGCCCTCGTCTACCTCTGAGGCTAGAAGGTTGGGACAGAGCCATGCATTGTCTAGGCACGGCACTCGTGAATCCCCCTGTCTTTGACCGATGCCCGCGCCTCGCTCTACTGCACTCGCCATTGTTGCGCAGGCTGTCGGCAGTGTGCTGACCAGTCCGCGGGAACGCAAAGCGTCGAAAGCTAAGTAACAGAACAAGCCTCGTAATACTGATATATTGAAGGTCCAAGAGGCAGACCTAAGTCTCAATAAAGTGTTATGTGTGCGTACAGACACGGACAGCATAGAGAGACTCATTCGGACTGATTAAGGGTCCTCTAATGCGGATATTGTGAGAGCACCAGAAGTACGGTGCCTGAGGGCTAGCCTGGGGATCGGATTGCCAGACTTCCAGGATAGTTGCCATTCCTACCTATTCCTATCATCTTGAATGGCCTTGGTACAGGTCAACAAAGCAAACTCAGAGTTCTGGAATGCCTGCAAATTCCAATTCCGGAACTGCAGAAGTGTTTTTTGGGATTGTACATTTCCCAGTAGAAAGTATGGTAAATTGCCTTATTTTGTAAGAGAAAAAGTGAGTTATTTTAACCTTTCAGTCAAGGCACCAAAAAAAGAATGCTAAGCATATGGTAGCACAAAATGTACTTTGGAAATGGAGATCCCTCTCCCGTCTCGCCCTCCGCTCAAAAGAACACCACTTTGTGACCCTGCAATGACCTCACAATATTCGCATGATCACTGAGTGGATAAGATCACCAAGGTGATATCCATAGTATTTCCGCAGTATATAAAAAAGGGGATAAAAGTGAATAAAGGTGTGCTTGTCATTCATTTAAGAAATAAGGTTACAGAAGTGAAAAGGAATCGGAGCACGTATTGGAATGATTGCCTAGTATTACATTAAATCGTAAATTGTAGAGGAAAATAAGGCTACTTATGCCTACCAACGAAGAGAGAAGTGACAGTTTGACTTAACCCACCAAAAATTCACATACAAGCTTCAGTTATTAAAAAAAACTTGCCAAAACTGAGCAACTAAAATGACATTGCAGGAATTAGGATTTGAGGGATAGTAAAGGGCATAAGGTGGTGCGGTAGCACTGGAAGAAATACCGAAGCATAGGTAGCGAACCGCAGGCGTGTCGAATTGCACCACCCCATGAGGAATTCATGATGGAACCAAGTAGGCGCACTTTACAAACAGTAGTAATCGCAGTTGCGCTTATTCCCTCTCGGATAAAATAAACAATCGTAAATAACTTTGGCCCTTGTTAGGCAACAAAAGCTTGCTTTTACTATCAGGATCTAACAGCGAAATCAACTACCACGTTCCAACATGTGACAACAACTGGGATTAATTTCCTGGACAAATTCAACTGCTGCTTAGAACTGGAAAAGTATTACCGGATCAAAGACATCTTACATCTCTCTTATTGTTTCAAACCAAAGTAATCCCTTTGTAATGCGTGATTTTGTCCATGTCACATATTTACGATACACGAAACTCAGAAAAGAGAATCAAGGAGATGCCACTTATGTGTGACGCTAGCAGCAAATGTTGTAAAAAAGTGCCAAAAGTTGCTTCCTTCAGCTGAAAATTTGTTCTCGAAGTAATAGCCTCAATTATCACTGGTTCGCAAAGATCTCTTTACCCAAAATGACGAAAGGACAACCAATGAAGAAAACTTCGTTTTTATTTTTTCTAACAACGGATAGGAGAAAGAGTAACATCGCAAAACAGCATAGAACCTACAAAGAATCTCAGATTTCAACTCACCCTTATTGCCAGGATCCATGTTGAAATCGCCTAAGATGACATAGTAGATTTTGTCTATAATAACGAGAAGTGGAGATACAGAGATTCACCAACTTATGTTTGGCAGTTGGCACAACAATCACTCACCTGAAAGAGTGTCCATTATCGCATCGACAAAGTCAGCAAGGCAGGCAACTTCTTCAGCATTCTTCTCTAAATGAGTGTCCTCTAAACCCGGTGCTCTGAGGTGAACCGAGGTGAGCATAAGAGTGCTCGATCCCAGCTGCAAATGAAGCACATCACATGACAGACTAATGAGAGGAAAAAAGAGTAGATTGGCAACCAACCCCACCCACAACCCTTCTTTTTAAAACCAGCTAAACATCGAGACTATTCTAGCAACAATAAATGAAGTATGCTAAGAACAGGCGAACCTTAAATTTGCTCAAAAAAGGCAGCCGCGAAAACTTCCCACTGGCGGACAGAACACGTGAGGAGATAGCTTGCACACGATCGGAACGGTAGAGGATAGAAGAATACTCCACGGCCTGAAAGGTTCGCCCCGTCTTATCACTCGATGAGAAGGCCTTGTAGGAGCCATATTTAGCTTGGTTCACCGCAATCCACCCCCTTATCATCGGCAGCACAGGGTCATTCAACTCGTTCACCAACTAAGTTGTAAGAAATTAATCTTACTCACTTAAATAAAATAAGTAGAAAGCTCGGTTTTCGCGGCCTACCAATTGAACTGACTCGGGTTCAACCACTTCCTGGAAGGCGATGAGATCGAATTGATTGGAGAGAATAGTGAGGCAAATAGCTTCCCGAAATCCGGAGTGTCTGGCCTTTGCCAAAGTGAAACGATCCAGGTTCCACGTGGCCAGTCGATAGGTGTTGGAGGGCAGGGCATCATTGGTGGTGAGGATATCCGAATCACTAATATACTTCGTCCATCTTTCAACCAGACCCATATCTTTGAGAGTCCGGAAGAGTTCTATGACGTCATGGTCTGCTGGTGGCAACTGTGGTAGTGGAGGTGCCGAGGGATAATGTGTAGCCACTGGGATAGGCCGTGTATTTGCCGACACAGAGCGAGGTTGAGGGAGTTGCTCATTTATTACTTGTTCATCCCTAGGAGCCAAAGAAAAGCATCACTTTCAGTTTTTAGGTGGTTCCCACACTATTCGTAACCATATCAATCCTAAAATCGCAAAGTTACACCAATTTCAATAAGCATACGAGTAGAGTCCAAGAGAAACCGAGGACCATAATTTTACACCCACGCCATGAGGTGGCAGGTATAAGTAACAGCACAACTCGAAGTGGTAATTGCCAAGAGTGCTCCATATCATTGCGCATCTATGACTATCACTAGGTGCGTCTGTCCTCTACCACGACTCACAACCCGCGTGCATCTATAGCGATGAGATGTTCGGCCGTAGTAGGGAGAGATTTGAATGCTGTCAATGTCTCAAACACAACCCTACGTATGTGACGATTCCAATCACGGTGATGCGTGCCAAGTCCGCAAAACAATAGTCATTCATCACTGTGAGCGTTCAATAGATGCCTTAAGCACATTATCCTCCACCTCCAACAATACTGTTTGACACTGATTGAAAAAAACGCACTGATTTAGTGCAGCAGGAGGAGATTTCTTGGCATGCAAAAAGGAATAAGAAAGGCCTATGACGAAAGCACTAGTATCGGATTTAATCAAATTATCTGACGAGTTGAAAGTTGACAACAAGGTAACTTACTTGATATTGTCATCAATAACCATACCACAGTCTGAAAGTAGTACCTCCCGAACAGCTCCCAAATTCCAAATGTCGCGGAGGCGTTTCAGTGGGGCATTTTGACGTTTGAGAATGATGTTATGCGCCAGAGTTTCACCAAACGATGGGTACCGCTTTAAAGATAATAGAAGAGCGAATTGCAAAAGTGCTGCACGCTGTAGAACGTTGTCCTAACACAACTAACGTTTCCAAATGTACATCTCCAATGCACTGCAACCACTGAATTCGTCTAAGATAATAGCCACCAAATGGGATCCCTTCCCCCGTAGTTAGATTTAAGTGTCTTAACGCATTTGCTATCAGGTCGCCAGGGCAAAACCAGCCACCGTGGCCTGGATGTTTTACTATTCTAGCAGAACATTGTTACTCAATGACTAAAGAAGATGAAATTACACTGCATAAGCCGTCCCAAAAATACATTTTAGAAAGTGTTCAGCTACATGAGTTGATGTTAACGAGATAAATTGTTAAGAAGTGTCGAGAAGCAAACTGGTTTTTTGGAAAATCCAAAATAACCAACTTACATTGATAATTTCACTCTCAGAAGCGACTTTGAAAAATTTAAGCACATCTTTCTTCCTATCCTACAAAGAAGGAAAAAAAATTAACCATAAAGTATTATCTTAACTCGTGCTGCATTTACAACTATATGAGATCAAAACAAATGAGATTGCACAATTTTGAAAGGAAAAAAAAGAAAGTATTCAAGAGAATGACTAGCGCTTCGTTAATAAAAATTCCGGTGTTTGGTCTACGAATTAATGAAGAATGAGGCGAGTCTAAAACCCACATGAGAACAGTTTGACTGAATATGAAAAAAAGCGACTGAGAGGGCGTACACAGCAGTCGCCTCCGCTCAAGATGACGTAGGAGTTAGTTCGGATAAATCTCATGACGTTTACTATGATTTCTAACAAAAATCTATGATTTCTCACAAAGAAATCCTTCTTATTGATGATTACCATGCAGAAAGATCAACGCTAATCTTGGTCTTTGTTTTCTTCATTGTACTTTTCCGAGGGAGAAATATTGGTATTCAAAACTGTTTAACATGAAAAAAACACCGTCAAGGGGAAAATGGAATTCATATAGGTTATTATCAAACAAAATAGCAACATCCCAGCACCTCCTCAAATTGCATTAGGTTCAAGTGGTTGTTGACTGACACCAAAGACTCGAAATAAAACTAGCACAAATTCACCAAAAAAGAACAGATTTTAATAATGTTATAAGCCGTGAGTCGTGGTTACAAGTGGCGGCAGTAAAGCCTATCAGCTATCAGAATTTTAGGATGCGGAGTTAAGATGAAATCGACAAAAAGCATCATCAGGAAGTAAACTTACAGGATCAGTAAGATCGCTTGGGCGTTTATGCATGCTTAAGGATAGGAAAAGTAAAGATAATAAAGCACGCAAATGCATTTATTGCCAGAATGCACGCTAACACATCAGATGATTGGATTGGGTTTCACGCACCCAAATACACGCACGCATGCGCGCAAGATCACACACCCACAAGTTTCGTTAAAAGACTTAATAAAGGATATTTTTAGCTCTAAACAACTACAAGATACGCAACTATTATGCATAAAGTTAAAAGTAAGGCTAGGAACGTGGCTACAAGCCAAGTTATTTAGGCTTCCAAAAATACTACCGAAAACAAAGTACAGTAGGTAATATTTTAATATATGACTGGTATATTTTGTGCATCCACAATTTTGAAAAAAAACAATCGAATCACGGACTCACCGGTTTGGAAAAACAATGACAAAGACCCATGATAAACGTTGGCGATGGAAATCACATAGACACCGCGGCAATAAATGCCTATTTGAAAGAGTTTGTGGTCAAATAAGTATTTGCTATTTGGCGTACACGGTTATAAAAAGAAAATGACACCACTAAACCCTTGAAAACTCAAAAAGCGAAGTCAGTGCATTCCCATATATATATATATATATATATATATATATATATATA